AGTTATTTTCTTATATCATGAAAATATTTTTAGATATTGTTTCAAAAACTTTTCAAAAAACTAAATTTATACACTAATAAAAATATGATAAATACAAAATTCGTGCAACGCACGTGACAGTCATCGGGAAAAGAGTTTTTTTTTTTTTTTTTAACTTCGCACTGTACGGAGAGTTTGTCAACTCTCCACATTGTGCGAAGTTTTTTTTTTTTTAAATCTGCATTGTACGGAGAGTCCGCATAGAATGTCATCTCTCCGTACAGTGCGAAGAGTTTTGCCATGGTGTTTGCCATCTCTTCGCACTGTGTGGAGAGATTTTTTTTTTTTACTTCGCACTGTACGGAGAGCTTTTCTCCGCACTGTGTGGAGAGTTTATTTTTTATTTTTTTTTTAAGCTCATGTGCGAAAAGTTTTTTTTTCTCGGCAGTTTATGTTTGCTAGTAGCATGATGTGTGGAAGAACATTTGTTTGACATAATTATTTTTTTAACGCTAGCGGGATGATGCGTGGAAGGACATTTGTTTTACAAAAAAAAAAAAAAATAACATCATGCATAGTAAAATTGAATTTATTTACTATTGCATGAATATTAGACCCTCCTTCCTCTTTTTATTAGAAGTTAGGCCACTATTCCTATATTCTAGAATTTGTGCTAACTGATTTCCTTGATGACGCAAGATGTTCACTAATTTCAATTACAGATATAATCGAATATAAAAATGGAATTTTTCAAATATTTTCCAACTGAAAAACCGGCTTTAATTGCACACATTACCCGGTTTCTTCATATGCATGCTGATAATGTAAGTCTCTAATATCTCGGCAAAACTATTTGACAGTAGATCAAGTCATCAGATTATCTTACATAACTCTATCTAATCCAATTTACTTGTATGTACACAAAAGGCAAAAACAGATATACAAGACAGACACTGAAGTTCTCACAACACAAGTGATAAAACATTTACATTATTTTTGTATCAATAGGCAGTTGCCTAGTATATCTCTTCTATGGTTGTGAAGAAAGCAATCTCATCTACCTATGCGCAGGAACTTAAGGCTGAGTCTTTAGTTTAGACTCTATTAAGTACCAACGGCTATTTTTTTAAATCAACAGGTTGCTTTAGATATTTTGGTTCCGTGTTCATTCTCCAGATCGCAATCACTATCAACTCCCATTGAATACTACTTATACAGTTACTACTAATAATATATGGAACTTTTTTATAATCGTTAAAAAATAGTGTTCGATTGTTTATTATTTGATGTGGGTTTTGTCTTTTGTTTAAGTTTTTTCATGTGGGTTTTTTTCTTTGTTCAATTGTTCAAAAGTATATGTATAGTGGTGCACCAAGCCTTTCAAAAAGAAAACTTGGTCACTGTAACCCTGATATATTTTTCACTCAGAGTAGGAAGAAGAAACCCAGAACGTATGTTATCAGGATTTCACAAGCAAAGGGATTTAAAAGGCCAGCCTGCTATAGAGGTATCTATTCAACATCAAGAAAGTACATGTGATATCACTGTTAATTTTTTTAATTCTCACAAACACATTCAAGTTACCACAATTTAACTCTGATATGTTTTTTTCTTCATGTCTTGTGTTTTTTTGGAGTTTGTGAACAAAGTGAAGTTGCTAAGAGCAAGTAAGTTCTATGTTAAGTGTGCCAAAAATATTTCTACAGGCTGATAATGACTTTTCTTAGGATTTTAGGGCATCAGATTTTTTATTTTATTTTATTTATTTACTTATTTATTTAAACTTTTTTTGTATTTGCTCTCTGATTTTCTTATTCAGAGCTTAGTAATAACTATATAAACTTAATTTGGAACCTAAGATTTCACTCAGTTATTCTAACCGATAAGATCAAATTTTCCCTTTACTCGCCCTCGGAAAAAAGGCCGCAATTTTCTTCCACCGCCAAATGGCAGATACAGTCATTTCAAAATCAATCATTCGAGTTTTTAGTGTTGGCAGTGAAGTTAGTGGATTTTGGAGAGTTTTGTTGGGAGTAATTTCTATAGGTTCTTGTACGTGTTTATATGAAAGAGACGTGCAGGTGGTACTGGTGGCTACGTTTGGGTGGTGCTGATGGTAGACGTTGTTTGACAATAAGGTGTTGATGGTAGAAATGGTAAGGTATGATAGGGCTGGATGTGGTGCTGGTGGTCGTGGTAGTGGTGCTGTGATGAACTCAAGTACTGATGGTTATGGATGATGTTCAAATGATAGTGCAATGAATTTGGAGGTGTTGCTGGTGATTTTGGTGGTGATGATTCGATCATTTGAGATGGCATCAATAATTTGGATGGCACCAACAATGGTGTGGGGGTGGAGTGAGATTAAGAGGAATTGTGGCCAAGTGCAATAGTTATGCTCACAGAGTATTTATTTTCATATTTGCCAAGTACATTGTCATGTTAATCTGACCTTTTTTTTTTTTTTTTGTTTTGGTATATAGTGCATTTGTGAGAGTAGCTGTAATATTTTTTTTCTTTCACAAGCAGGTTTATATAAAATCATTGAGCTTTCTCAACAGGGCTGATATGAAGAAAATCTATGGTGAAAATTTTCCTAAATAAATATTTTTCCCTGACTGTTTTAACTTCTGAAAAAAAAAAGTTGTCATTGTTGAGTTTGGAACCTTGAACAAACAGCCGATGATAAGCTGGAGAAAGGTGAGGATGACATCAAGTCATCATGCCTATTGTTGAGCTAATTTACCTGCTCTTAAACAATCACGTGTTCAAATTGGTTGCAATGCGTCTTACCATTTTTCATAATCACAAGCAAATATTGTTATCTTAGAAAGACACTGCATTGTACATGACATAAATTAATAGAACTACTAGCAACTGCATAACGAATCAAGCAGTAAGCATTGTTTTAAGTCATGGAATGCTTTTCTTGGAAATGTCTTGGACGATTACTGTGGGTGCTTCTTCCAAGTTACCATATTTAGAGCTTATTTACTTGATGAATTATATTGTGGAATTAATTGTTCTCATGTACAACCTATTCTAAGCTTTGCGTCATTTTCTTTTTCGTTTGACTCCTTCTCCATTTGGGTGGAGACAGTGGCGGATCCAGCACTTGGCGAGCCCCAGCGGCTACCAGTGCTGAATCCGTCGAGAGGAGTTTTTTTTTTTTTGTTGGGAACAAATTAAATTTTCAGTTTATATTACTGGTATTTCGTTTTAGTCTCAGTCATGACTTCTAGCTCAATTGGTTAGAGTTTGTATGTTTATGTTGGATGTTTCATGTTTGAATCCCCTTGCTAGCAAAAATTTACTTTACAATGCTTTTATTCTATATTTTTTACAAAAATTCAATAGAAAGTGGACCAAAGGGGTTTCAAACTCAAGTCCTCTTTGATAGAGGTATTGGAAGCTTGACCATTATGCCACTTATTGGTTGTTATCACTGTGTTTAACAAAGTAATATTTGTTAGGTTTTATCTAGTTTGCAAGTACAATTGCAAAGATTCGAACCCATGTTTTTCTTTTAAATTATACAAAATTTGACAACAATGATATTCAATGAGTCCAATTTATTCTTATAAGAAAATTATATATATTCAATTTGAACAAAATAATTGTTATATTTAAACTTTAGGCCTTGTTTGATTTTCATTTTTTTCAAAATATATTTTTTCTCTTTTTTTCAACCACACATTTTACAATAAAATAATATTATATGCAAATTCAAAACTTCTATTTATTATTAGCTGCACATTCTCTATCAAATCACCATTCAAAAATGTATTTTTTGCGAAAAAACGCAATAAATGAATAAATGGTATCAAACGGGCTCTTAATATTTTATTGCAGCTGAACAGTCGAACCGCCCATGCTAGGTTGAACTTCTGGATTCGTCTCTGGGTGGAGATGGGCATGATTTCAACAAACTGAAAAAGAAATTCTGAGATGTTAAAGGAAAACACAAACGAATAAGAGTAGAGAATAGCGTGTTGACTTTTGATTGCCTCATTCCTCAATCTGGTTGCTTGTGTGAGGAGCAAGACCTACAGCCCTCATGTGTTTTTCTTTTTTTTTTTCTTTTTTTTTCAACCTCGGTGCCCAAGTGCCCAATTGCGAGAAGTCCTTATTTACTGTGATTTATGGGCATTAACCGAAAATGTAACCTCTTCTGATTTGGAAAGGGAAGCAAAATAGGATAATTGTTTTTATGAAATTTGATGTAGAACTTTGAATTGAAAAGATTTTTGTGCTTAATTGGCTAGCCAGACATTCATCTACCTAACAACCTCGATTGAATAAAGTATACACCTCTTGTAATTTTTACCATCAAATACGTTAACATTACCTTCAAAAAAATGCGACCCGTGCATTGCAAAAGGAAAAAAACTAGTATTAAGAGAAGACATTATGAAAGGGCTACTTGGTCACAAAGAATGAATAAGAGTCCGTTTCTAACAAAAATGGATATCAAAGTTTTCGAATACCGAAAGCAACACAAGATAATGTTTAGCCATATTTGAAATCCAATTCCACGAATATACAAATAAAAGAAAATTGTTGATAGTTGAAAACGACCTAATAGAAGATTAAGTCAATGAAAATATTAACAGAAGACATTTGAAAGGGAAAGTTACTTCATATTAAAGAATAAACTGTAGCAAATATTTATATAGATGTAGTGATGTATTTAATGGGATCATGAAAAATATCCATGTCACTGACTTACAATTTGTTGGACTAGTACAAAAATATTCTCTTCAAGTAACTTGCTAATTTTAAATATTAATTAAATTTGGATTTCTTGATATTTACATCCAATTCTACATCATTGAATTTACAAAACATTGCAATTCCTTATGTGCTGGAATTATGAGCCTTGGTAATTGGGAATGAAGGATTCTTGGATCACGTCAACAAGTTCTACTTCAAACATGACAGTGGAACGGCAATTTCTTGAGAGCAATAAGAAAACATAAAAGTAATCAATCAATTCCATCGACAAGTAAAACGGAGTTTGATTAAATTATTACAATAAACAAACAATTGCATATAAATCATATCAAAATTCACAAACAATAAAAAAGGTATGAGCAAGTACAATAAACAAATGCATAAAATTCACAAACTATAACAGATTAAAAGAATCCAAAGACGGGCACTGGAAAAGAATAATAAAAATTTCAATTCATCTTTCTTCTGTAGGATGAAATTGGGTATATTAGGCTTCTGCAGCACCTTGGTTGAGAGCTCTCTCCAGTCTCGCCTCGAATGGAGTTGAATGCCAATTCACTCTCTTGTCCTGCACAATTGATGGCAAATACTTGGAACAAAACATTATCAATGTGATATTAATTTACAAATTCTCACTTCAAGAATACCTCTCTGTACTTACTGGTTGTATTCGGTATGACTTTGTAAGAAGAGACTGAGTCAGAATGCTTGGCCGAACCCGAATCATTCCAATAGGTCCCGACTGTACCTATAATAGGCATCTCATCAGGGTTTCGACCAGGAGACTTCCTCAGGGAGGAAGATGCTGACATCCGTTTCAGCTCCTCGACTGTCAATGCACCTAGAATTGGTCGATCATCATAGCTCCTCGGTGAAGTCGACCCTATTGGTATGTTCCTTTCAGGCGTAGTGGTCTCAAGATCACTATAACTATTCTTCTTTGCAGGAGTGATATCAGGCGAAACCAACCAGCTTGAAAGACTAGAATCAACGACTATCTCGAATGATCCAATTTTGGCTTCAAACTTTGTGAAGATCGCTTGAAAGTCGGTTCTAAACTACTGAAAGAAATGTGGGGTGCTTCAAGGTCGTAACAATCAAGTTCTCCTTCTGTGGCTTCAAAGGCTGCATCCCTTTCAACTTCACAGCTTTCCACTGAGTAGTGTTTTCAACAGGGTTCAGCACGGAATTGACATAGTCACTTCTATCTCTAGAAATAGTTTTTGGTCCAGATGCCTCCATTTCCATCTCGGGCTGTCCAATCCTTATCAAAGGACTCTGTACTTCCTCGTTGATAACTCAAGCTGAAAGATCTGTCCTTGACTCCATGGATGCAGTTAAAATTGACTCTGACCATACTTCTCCGCAAACAATTCCATCATCTTGATCATAGTAATCCGAATCATCTTGATCGTCCATCTCATCTATATTATCCAAGTCACTATCACCAAACTCTTCGATTTCATCGTTACCTCCATAACATTATGGTACCTATGATTCCGAGGATACAATCCCACACTGGATGCCACAGAACTATCATTTTCAGAGAGTGAATGCGACTGGGGTGGCCGAGCCCTTTCTAAATCTTCCCCCTCTTTCTCAACGGATTTATTGTTCTCTGGTAGAGAATCAGTGCTTTCATAGATGGAAACATGGGTGTATGTTTTGCATCAAATGCAATGCTTATTCTCGGGCTTGGGATCAATTGCTCTTCTCCCTCAGGCTTATCTCTGCACCAAAAAGAAGAAAAAGAAGAGGATACTTCTCTAAATCAATTCTTCCCCAACAAATATTAGTAGTAACGGAGAAGCTAACAATACAAATAATCAAACAATTTTTCTCAATACTTAAAAGAATTGAATAACGGCGATTTAATTGAAGAGTTTAAAGAAAAGAGAATCATATGACTAACAGAAACTCCGAAACCGACTCGGTGGTGGGTATTTCCTTTGGGTGAATTTCCATAATGCTCTGTTCTGCATTTATTAAACCATGCAGAACCCCGTCTCTCTGTAACAATTATTTAGTAATCTGATTAAATTCAGAAACCAAAATTCAAAGAAAAAAATCAAAATACAGAAATACTAATTACTTGTTCTCGGAGCACAGAGAGAGAGAGAGAGCAAATCAAGAATCGGTTTGTGCTTTTTCACATAATTTTTGTACAGTGGGGAACAGAGAACAAGGGTTTCAAAATTTAAAGCTCAGTTATGAAAGAAGAATCAAAAGAGTCCATTCCATGTTTACGATCAGAAACTTGAATAAACGATAACCAAAAACTTAAAACCCACTTGCTCGATTTTAGCATATCAAAACGACCAAGAATTCCATAATTCAGCACCATCAAAGTGGAAAGGACAAGAAACGGGAACTTAAATTCAGGTTAAGCTGAGAAAAGGGTCTACCTTCGTTTCTAGGGCTGCCCCGATTAGCCCTCGGTTTGCGGCATCCGAAATCCTTTGCAACACCAAAGCAAAATTTCAATTTCTGTAATTGCAATTGGTAGATTTTATTTTTTCAACAATGACCCACGTCAATTTTTATTATCTTTCGAAGGATTGTTGATTTAATATTGATTAGATTCCTTGTTTATGGGTTTTTATCTTCACGTTATATTTGTCAGAAGGCTTTCGGTTTTTATTTTTATGAATACAATATTGAATTATAAATTTTTTTTCCCTATTTCTGTTTTTTGTCTGCCTATAATTTAATTTTATTTAAGGTTAAGTGTAATTAATTTCGCTTTTAGGTCTGTAGAAACGATACGATCATAGGAGGTTGGCATTTTTGAGCCAAGATGAGAGATTTATGCAGAATATCCGAATGTAGGAGTTATATAACATATGAGAGCTCTATTTAACTGAAATCTCAAAAACAGATTATCCGTTAATTTGTTCTAGGTGAGTTCACAAGCTACTGATCTTGAGGTCTACAAGTGCAAATGATTAACATTTAGGATTTGTTTGTTTGAAAATTTTTATGGAAAACGACCTTTCTACACCTGAATTCCAACTTTTGGAGTGCTTAATTTTCCTTGTTTTTCGGGAAAATATTTTCTTTGGGAAAGGTAGATTTTTGTTTTCCTTAAAACAAGGAAAATATTTTCTTATTTAGGAAATATTTTTCATGCTTATTACACACACCTTTAATGATTAGCCTTTTAATATAAAATATAAAATTGTTTATGCAAGTTCCAGTTGTTGTCAAAGTATTATACTAAGATCTTAGGATAAAAGAGCAAGGACTCGTTAAAATTTTAGATGAATCTAATCATAATATATGGTTCATAGTTCTACACTTTGTTGTCTTTGCGGTGAGCTACAAACTGACTGAATTTGTTGCTAGTTATATAAAAGCTCGCACTTGTACTGTGGTCCTATTGGAGGAACTCAAGAACCATAGGATCATATGCTATTCGTACTCAAGACACTGAGTTGAGCTTATATTGCATTTAGCATTGTGATCCCCAAAAATTTCTAGCAAGACTGAGCATCTCTATAGAAAAACAATGTTTCCATACTAATTTTATAAATTCTGAAGACTCTAAAAGCTTTTCAATAGGTTCACTAGAGCATGAAGTATAATTGTTGAGAGAGCACAATAAATTTATATTAAGAGTTGAGGACTGCCCGAACTAAATCCTTTCAGAGTAATGTAGTTTGTGACCTATGATTAAACGAATTTGTGCGAAGGGGAGGTTTATAATGAGGTTATAAAATGTTTGTGCCTGAGACATTCGTTTTATTTTTATTTTTCTTCTTTTGGCAACTAGAATTCTCTTGTGAAGAAATTAGGCTTAATCACGTTACTACACCGTTGGCTCAATTTATTTCAAAACTCTTTATTTCTCATACTTATTTTCATCTACATATTCTCACAATTAAATATTTTGTACGTAAATTCAAAATTTTTCACTACTTTTTAACTACATATTCTTAGAAAAAAGAAAAAAACACTATTAATTGTTTTCTCCCAATTTCTCTTTTTACTAGTTTTTCGCATGCTCATTTTTTTAGGAAATATTAAGTTATTAACGTGTCAAAATATCTATTCATTTCTCTCAATAAATCTACAAATTTGATTAATTGTTTTAAATGATAAATAGAAATGTAATCTTCATATATAACAAACTTTTGACATTAAAAAAAATAAAATTTTATTACAAAAAATGACATAAAAAATTTTATTGGATTATTCAAAAAATTAATTGATCGAGGGGAAAAAGTAACAATAAGAAAAAAATTTCTAAAAACGATCGAATTTCTTTTATATATAAATTTTTTTCAGATGTTAAAATATTAAGATGAAAAATTAGTTGACCTCAATTTTGTGTTGCTATAATTGAAATATATTTTTTGGGGATAGGATAAATGTTCCTTTAATGCATGGATTAAAAACCAAAATTATTGAAGCTCATAAATCAAACATGATTTTAGTTTGAGTGGTTATTTTGCATATAAATGACTTATTTGATGATAACTATATTCAATATAATTAAATCGTGTAATTAGTCGAATATTTTTTTTATTGTTCAATATCCAATCGATTTAATGAATTTTTTTATTTACATATAATATAATTTTATGGAAGATTCTGCGATTGAAAATAAAAAAGAGAAAAATGAGAAAAAATTTAATGGAGCCAAACACAAGTTGAGCCACAGTATAATATTTTGTCACTTAAATGGGATTGAGATTTTTATTTAATCACCCAATTTTGATATATTTGATTTTAATCCTCCAAAATTTATATACATTTAAAATATTCAGTATCGTCAAATAAATTAATCGACATCTTTTTGATTGAGTATTAATTTTTTCAATATTGTATTAAGTTTTACTTTGATTTCTCACAACTACTTTTTGGAAATAAACAATATACATGATTTAATATGCTCCATGTCACATTATATAAGGGTAAAATAGATTTGTATAAAAAATATATCAATCATCAAGGAAAAAAGGAAATTATATTGATAAAATTGTCGCGAAAAAATGATAAATATTAATAAAATAATTCTTTTTATTTTTTAAAAAAGGATGAGTTATAGGAATTTTTTAACACACACACTTGATGTACGTTTAAATATCTTCTATATTTATTTAGATCATTCGATGTATCGATTATATAGTTCTCAAAATAAACTTCGAGAGAATATAAAATATTTATAAAGATTTATGATAGATTTTTATAAAAAAAAAAAAAAACTAAATAAATCACCTAATGAAAAAAAAAAAGTTGCCTAATGGAGCATCTCTGTGTATCACGGAGCATTTGCTCCGTGATGCACGAAGCAAAATTGCTCTTGGGTGCCAGGAAGCAAAATTGTTCCTGGGTGCCAGGAGGAGCAAAAAGCATCAACTCCTGGATGCTAGGAGCAAAATTGCTCCGCACATCACGGAGCATTTGCTCCGAGATGCGCGGAATTGCTCTATTTTTTATTTTTTTTTGTCAAAAAAATTTTTTACTAAGTGATTTATTTAGTTTTTTTTTTAATAAAAATCTACCATAAATATTCTATATTCTCTTAAAACTCATTTCGAAAACTATATCATAAATACATCGAATGATCTAAATGAATATCGAAAATAGTTAAATATATATCAAACGTGTGTTTTAAAAAATGTGTATAACTCATCTTTTTTCTTAAAAAAATCAATTATTTTCATAATGTTTATTATTTTTTCGCGACAATAATTTCTGACGTTATTTAAAAAATTTCCTAATAAACTTTAAAAAAATTTTAATGTCAAAAGAGACATCATTTAAAAATTTAAGAATTATGATAACATGTTAACTTTATAAATTCACCGACGATTGTATGGTAGTCGAATGCATAAGTTTTCTATATTTTCTCGAAACTCATTTCGAGAACTATGTCATAGACGCATTGAATAATCTAAATGAATATAAAAAATAGTTAAACGTACTTCAAACGCGTGTTTTAAAAAATACGTATAACTCGTCTTTCTTCTTTAAAAAAATCAATTATTTATTAATATTTATTATTTTTTGGTGACAAATTTTATAATAAAAATATTATGTGGTATAAAACACAAGATCAATTATCCAAGGAAAAAAATTGTTGTACTCGGTTAGGAGTGAATGACTTATCGGTATGCATGTTAGGGTCAAATGAGCAATAATGAAATGCTTCCTGAACGAATAGTAACTGGCATGATAAAAAATTCCTACAATTCGTTGCCATAATTTTTGTCTCACTCTCTCATGATGCATGAGAAGATTTTCTTTGGAAGGGATCGCTACAGTAACTCACTTGTGTAAGTCAACAATGGAAGCAATAAAGTTGTCTCATTAATTTCATTTTTGGAAGCTATAGCATTCTAACGAAGTAAAATGATATTTTTTAAGTGAAGCTACAGTAATCGTTAGCAGATGATTCTATAAAGTCAACAAAGACAGTAATAATGCTGCCATATTTTATTATTATTTCTAGAAGAACCATTTTTTTGTGATGAATAGTGTATAACGAGTTCAGCTACAGTACAAAACCAGTTTAGTGTGAAATCGCTGCCTCAAGTTGAATAGTAAATATTGGATCCTCTCTTTTAAAGTAAAAGTGATATCATCAAATATGGATGTAAACATTTAAAAGATATATAATCAGGCTAATTATATGTAATTCCAAAATTAGATATTTTAGAAAGAATAATATTACTTATACACAAGGAGTTACATAATAATTTACATGCAAATGAAATATCAAAAAGAGAAGAAATCTTTTTTTTTTTTTTTCTTTTTTTGGTTGACGAAATTCTGACATGATCATATTTCACCACATCACGTGTATGTAAATCATTATGTATATATAGCATAGTCGATTTTAGAAAATCCCCCTACAGGTTAGTTGTATTCTTGTGTCATGAGCTTTTTGTAATTTTTTTCCTGAACTGCAGAAATACCGAACAGTTAGATACAAACCAGAGACAATAGAAGGTGTGCGTTTGCAATAATTTTTATGTTTTGATTTATTACAAAACTATCTACCTATCCATCTATATGTACCCACAGAGACCCATACACATATACTGTCATATAATAAACTAGATAGTGAATGTCAGATACTTAAATATTAAAGTTAGAATTGAGTATATTACAACACTTCATATTTTTATGTTGCTACAATACTAAAAAATATATATTTGCAGCACAATTTTAATTCAAAATTCTTATTCTTCTGACTCTTAAACTCCAATGCATTGCTTGCACCATGAAGTAATCTATCTTTTCAAACTATTTCACTTAGCTCAATCGTGAACATAACTTCTTCAATGACGTCTCTGGTTCATGATTGTCATTGAATTTAGAATATGCTATATATGTTATGCTACATATGAAAGGAAATCTTCATTGTCACTTCAGATTTTTTTTTTTTTGGCAGAATCTTCACAAATAAAAATGAAAAGAAAAGGACATGTATTGAAAATCTGTCATCTTTAGACAAGAAAATGTAAGTTGCTTCTTTTACTTTTTTGATCGGTAAATTACTTCTTTTACTTAAGTTCATGTCTTGTAGTTAATGTAGTTTTTGGAGTTCGATAATTGTTAGTATCTGAACCTCTGGGCACGATATTTAATATTTTAAATGTTTCTCTTAGTTTATATATGTTCCGTTTAATTGGCTTCCTCTTCTAATTCTCTGGCTTTGCACATATATGTAGGATGATGAACCTCATTTTCTACACTCGACTTCTTTTAATTTTTTGAATGGAGATGTGCCTTGTTTCTTCTTTCTATTGTGATATTATATGTTTTACCTTATGCCACCAGTGACCAAACAATTCGACAACTACACTTCATACCTTTGCTCTACTGTTTTCTTCTCCCAGTTATTCCTGTAGAATAACATGGATGATTGGTAGATATTAATCTCTCTTATAATTTTTCAAGAGAAAAGGATTAGAAGACCATCAATTTCAAATTGAAATTGAAGTATGAAAAAGAATTAGACATTTCGGTAAAGTAGTTTGTTATGGAAGTCTGTTGTGCTAAAGTTACATAATATTCACAAACACGTTGGCAGATGGAGGATTAATGAGTGACTCGTGTTTGTGGACAATCTGGAACTAGCAAATATATTGTGGTTTCAACGAGAATGGTGGAACTTGTCAAATTTTGGAAGTTTAATATCTTAGACAATTCGTAAGGATAGATACAATTATAACTGAGCTCAGCTTCCTTTTAGTTTTTTATATTCTATATGTTCTGTCACTGATTGTGTGCACCTCTGGTTTTTGAATAGTTGACTGCAAATGGAAGTCCAAAAGCCTTTTCATGAGCAGCCTAAGGTATGAATTCACGTGCTGCATTGGTTTTAACTTGAAGGTGGCATATAATATAGGTTAAGCCACATATCAGGTTCCTGAGTTTTATTTGACTAATGCAAAATTTAATATTTGATACATAAAATAAACAGATTATTAATTGCGTTTTATTTGACTAATGCAAAATTTAATATTTGATACATAAAATAAACAGATTATTAATGCTTCTGGCAGCAATAGAGATATATATACTAATGCAGTCTTGTATTATTGCTATGTTTGACGATTTGCTGAGGGATCTCGTTTTTGTGGATAGTATCATAGTAAAATATCTTTTACGGGTGGCACACTTGCTGTCTTGTTTGATAAGTTCCCTAGTGTCAAGTTTGCAGCCTAGTGAAAGTGCTGCAGCTTAGTCGAGATTTTGTATCTGGCATTTTAATTTAAATACTCAAAGGCAAATTAGGGAGAAAAATTTGGAGTGTGACCCTAGCAGTTTCTGGTTATTCCTTTCAAACATTATGTTCTAATTATTCTTCTGCAGATTCAAAGAAAATTGCAGCTTCGAATAGAAGAACAAGGGCGTCACCTTCAGATGATGTTTGAGAAGCAGTTCAAGTCGTGCATGGACTTCCTCAAGGGGACTTCATCCACGATTGAGAACCCCTTAAAGGACTTCATGGATTCAGTGGGAAATGCTCTCTCCAAAGATGACTCGGGAGAACAAGTCGAGGGTAGTGAAACAAGCGGGAATTCATCTAATGTACCCATAGGGGAAATTCACGGGATGTTGGAGAGAAACATAAAGCTCATGAGTCTGAAGTAGTTGGAAATTGTGAAGCAAGTGTAGCTGGCGCGTCCAATTTGTTACCATGCAAGCATGCTAAAGTGCATGGTTAGGTTGTCTAAATCCTGCATAAGACTGAATTGATAAGGAGCTCTAGAACTCTGTAGTCCTTAGGATGAATTCTTATGGGCATTGGCTTATGTTCTCCTCAACTTTTAGCTTATAAGCAACTTAAGATTCTACTTTTTGGCTGTCATATACTTGGATTCCTTTGACATTTGTCTGAGAAAATGGATACGGAAGAATTTTGGTTTGAAAATGAAGCCACCTTTTTGCTCCATGGTTTGAGTTATGATCTCCATGAGAGTTTAGCTTTGTACTTATGACCTATGATTCATCAATAATTTCGTCTTAATATCCAACAGCAGAGGAGTCCGCTTATCATTGGACATGGTTCCATCTTTTTCATCTGTTCTAAATCAAATTGCCAGATGTTACTACATCTATTATCACTTCATGATTCGGTGTCGGTCCCTCGGGTCATATAAATCATTGGTTACTCGCAATGAATATCATTTTCAAATGGAAATCCACATAATTTTGGGTTCCCAATATATGAACTGTCATTAAATGTAAGAAGCTACCCTTGCTCAGATATGGAACCAACAAGATGATTGTATGAAAGGTTAAGGAAAATGTCATCTTTGCCAATTGCCAAGGAATCTCTCCAACCAATTGATTTAATCGAAGGTCCAATGATTCAAGTGAAGTCAAAATTTCTAGTGATGGAACATGACTTGTAAAACTATTATTAGATAAGTGCAGAGTATGGAAGCCCTTCATCTTTCCTATAGAACTTGGAATATCTCCTTGAAATTTGTTGTTCAATAGATCAATGCTTGTAGAAGCTCTTTTGATAATCTACAGCTCATACTCGAACCCCTTCAGCAAAATAGTTGAAAAATAGAATCCGGCATGAATTTCATTTTCACTCACATTAATCATGGCCTTGAAGTTCTCTAAAAATCCAGTAAACTCATTATAGAACATATCGAGAATTTGAAGCTTAGGAAATGGAAGCTTCACCTTTGAGGACTTCGATGAGAGAGCTCGAAGATTCGGAAGAGGTTCCATCCCAAAGGAGAATGGGTAACTTATGTCATTGTTTCCAATATTTAGTTCTTCAAACATCCAACAATTGACCAATGTGTGTGGTAATGTTCCATTCAATATATTTCCACTTAAGTCCAAGCGCAACAGTTCACATCCCTTTCTAAATATTTTAGAATAGTGCCGTGAAAGCGATTTTTCTTCAAATTCAAAAATTTCAATCCTTCATTGAGTTTAGGAATGGTGCCATGAAAGTGATTTTTCTATTTTTACTGTTTCCATACTTATTTGTTTTGGGTTTCATTACCTTTTCCCCTTTCTTCTTTTATAGCGATAATAAATAAGAACACTTGGAACAGAGAAATAGATAAGGTGGCAAATACACAGGCAAGTCAATGAAAAAGAAAAAAGAAAAAAAGAGAATGGAATGTCTCATTTTTCCATTAGATATGTATATTTGATCCACAAATGATGTTGACATCGAGCAAAAGAGCGAATTTAAGTTTTAGGTTTTAAATTTTAATAGTACAAAATCTTTAAAAATCTCTGTAGATCTTCTTTTGCAAGCAATCGTGTTTTGTGCATATGTATGCGTGTATTTTGGTTCGATCATAAAGAGGAATGGAGATAATTTGAGAAGGGTCGTGCTGCAGGTACAACCCCTGCCAGACCACACACATCATGGCCCTGGCAAATTTTTTTTTTTTTTTCATGTGGGGCCGCCTGTCTGGGAATGCATTTGAGAAATATGGCACATCATTCATGATAAATTATATAAATATGAGAGAGAGAGACGCGTGGAAAGTGTCAATGAGTGGAATTCCTTTTAACGCGTTTTGGGTTTAATTAAGATTTAAAGACTAATCCAATCTCAATAATTCTCCCTTTTTGAGCAAACCAAAAGTAATTTGTTCCTTATTAATTCATTTAACCATAATTAATTTGGGTTGGCTTCAACTTTGATTAATTCAGTTCTATTCAAAAATATATTTTTGTCGAGCCCATGATACACGATTGACTCATTGAATAATTTAATGCAAGCTTTAATATAAGTCCACTATTGATATGATAATTTGGAAATTAATATTATTTACTAAGTATTTTATTTTAATTGTCTCGACTCGAATTTGACTTATCCAAATTAATTTTTTTTCTTGAATTAATTCATAATTCAATATTTAATATGATCTTGAAAATGAGCACAATATTGATATGATAATTTTCTTGCTAAGTCGTACTTCATTATTTGGGCTGATTTGATACAAATTTTGACTTCAAAACTTAGTTCCTCAAGTTTCAAAATTATTAACTGTTATCCAAATCAAAATCCTCAGCATCCATTGATCCTTATCGGTGCTAAATAATCTTGACTTGTGACATTCTCGTCTAAATATATATTTTTCTCACCGTTAAGAGGAATAAACCAACAAGGACCACTGTTCAAACTTGCTAATAATTCAACAATATCAAATAAAGAAGAAAGACTTTGAACTCAACACGAGTCACACTCTGAGCAAGCAAATATTATGAATCTAAAAATATTCATGCTTCTTGATGTGAGCTTGATCGAGAAAGATGTAGAAACATATGCTAATGCAGCCTCGTATTTGTGATAATCTTGTCGAGGGATGCACGATCACCCTCTTGTTTCATAAGTTCCAGCACATGCTATATGTAGCCTTGTAAAAGTGCTATCCTTATCGAGAACCCACCTGACATTATAATTTACGTATTTAAATGAAATTAGGAATTAAATTTCTTTTTCCCTTTGTAATTGTATTACACTTTTGGACTACTTATCTTAATAATGTTGACTTTTTAAGATGGAACTCCAAATCTTAACAGTTGGCATTCTCAAAAAAAGAAAAAAGAAAAAAAAAGGGTAGTTTGAGATTGTAACTGTAATTATTCTTTTTAATTTTGACAATTTTTACTGTTTTTAAAGGTTAACAAACAGAATTGGAAGGTAGGAGATTTTTCTACACTTCAAATGTTGTATTTCATACCAAGGATCAATCATGCTACTTGTACAATTTTATTTGTACAATAATGGATGACAACATTTGTTGGTATCATCACATCTATCCATTTTTAAAATTATCGGAAATTATTTTTTAAATCATTGGTCCGAATTTCGCTACCTCCAACGTTATCAACAATGTTAGTCAACTAACATTGTACAAATAGCTTAATTCTTCTACAATATTGAAATCATTATCTTGGCGACATTGACGTAAAAAAGTAAAGCCACATTTGTTGGCTTTAAAATGGTCAAACATGATGGCTAGTGAGGAGTGGGTCCTTGTCCAACTACTGCTTGATCTCTTCTCAATGTATATTCCCGTGATGTATTTCTGGGTTAACCCTTAGATAGTGCACATCATTCTTGATGAAAGTAAGGCATGCATTTGATTCCTTTTAACATGTTTAGGGTTTAATTAGGATTTAGAGATTAATTCAATCCCAATAATTATTTCTTTTTGGCCAAAATCCACCGACCAAAATACAAAACATAAGAGCCTAATTCTCAACAAAATAAAATAACACTATGTAGTTGAACCATCTTTTTTATCCGTTCAAGTCTGCCTTCTCTCGAGAAGATGAGAGGCTAAAAATGAAAGTGTCCACAACACATAACGAAACGGTTAATATTAATAATAATTAAGGTACTCTGTGATTAGGATCCGTAGTTCAATGACACATCAATCCACCAGTCATCGTTCAATATGCTAATTTTCACGTGAAAGGGACGAGTATAATGAATTTTACTTAATGAGATACTCGCTATTCCATAATCAATCCAACCATGTAATTATATAAAAATTATTTTATCAATATAAATCGAGAATTATCACATAATGGAAAATGATAATTCAAACAAGTACTGTTTAATAATGTGAAGGCTAAATTGTAGCCCGAAGGTAACTCTGTAATTGTTTCATGATTTCCCCAAATATAATCATGGGCTAAAATAATTAAATTCACATATAACGACAAAGTTAAGAAGATGTGAAATTTTATTTATAGCATTGAGTGTCTCACGTAAAATTTAAAAATATAGTTGCTTGAACAATAAATTTTAAATCGTTGCGCCTGTTTAAAATAGTTCAAAACCTTTAAAAATCTCTATGGATTTCCTTTAGCAAACAGTTGTGCTTTGTACAGGTGTACACGTGTATCTTGCTCTGATAATGAAGAGGAATAGAGAATTTTTGAGAAATCCGGAGGTAAGTATTTGCGTTTTGACGTTTTCGAAATTGAATTGATAAATTACATCCCTATTTTGTATTGTTAAAAAATCTGATTGAAATTTAATTTGGAATTAATAATTAATTTTAATCGCACATTTTATAGAACCAATAACTTTTTAACCACGTTTTATTAACTTTTCAATTATGCTACGCTAACATCAAGGTTTTCATAAAGTTTGGCATAATATCATGTAACATTCTATCATTGAACAGTTTAAAATACAATGAACATTTTTCTCCAATAATCTACCATCACATGCAATTATGTCAAACTTTTTGTCAAATCCTTCTAGCAAAAATAATTTTATCCTTAACGTTTATCAAAATATACTAAAAATTTAATTTTAATTTCTACCGATCAGAGCTGTATAAATAGGGAGAAAGAAAACGTGAGGCGTGGAAAGTGTCAATGCATAGGATTCCCTTTTAACATGCTTTGGGTTTAATTAGGATTTAATGACTAATTCAACCTCAATAATTCTCTATTTATCCAAAAATAACTTTTTCTCGAATCCATAATATACAATTCAATGTGAGCTTCAAAATGAGTCTAATATTAATATGATAATTTAGTCTAATTTGAAAATTAATATTATTCATGGAATAATTTACTTTTAAATATCTATAACTTGAATTTGACTCATCCAAATCAGTGTTTTCTTGAGTCCATAATTTACCATTTAATATGAGCTTCTAAATGAGCCCAATATTTTTGATCCATCAATACTTCATTATTTGGACCAATTTAATAAAAGGGAAAATTACACACAACACTGTATAGCTTTACATTTCAAAAATCATGAATCAAATAAATTCTTTCAAAAGTCTATACAAAACCATCGTACCCATCACCACCCCACCACCAAACAATCCACAATCATACAAAAACGAGATTGTACCTATAGCAACCGAAAAAATCTTATTGTTCGTTTTAGAAGAAATTTTCTCATAGAACTCGAAAATGATTTAGGTTATTTACTAGTCGCTACGACACAATGTTGCACGCACTTGTCTTAGAATTATTATAAGGTGTCGAATTCTCATTTAAAAGGCAAGTTTCTTATTGGTTGCATTATATGTGATGGCACATTCTATATTAATTTTCAACTATGTTAAGTCCTTCAAATTAAGATTAGATAACTTACTATATAGTGCCAAACAACCCCAAATTCAGGCACTTATTTTGATTCCTTCTCATGCCTATCAAGCCCTTAATTATGATTTTTTTTCTACTATGTGCCCCTAACTACTACTCACTTATCTTATCAGTTAAACTCCCTTCTTGTTAACTGCCAAACCGCCATTTGCATTTACATTTGAAACCATTAACATCCTTCAACTCCTGTAGCCACATTTCTCTCACAAACCACCATATATACATATAAATTTCACTTACCATTTATCCATAGACTGGAGGCACTTTCGAATCTGGAAATTGTCTGAAGGATAGGCTAGAAGTACGCTACGTTTTTGTTACAAATTTGGCACTAATGAATTACTCAAACTCCAAACATCTAAGGTAGGGCGTTTTCGACACTTTCGTAAGTGAAGCAAAAATTATGTTTTTCAATTTGCATTAAATGTTTTGTTGTGTCACTCATGAAAAAATGGAAGCACCATTTTTTGGTTTGAGTAAGATAAGAATAGGACGATTTTGAGTGCTCGGGGTTATCAAAATCTGAGAATAAGTGGACTACTTGATCATCGGTTTGCTTTGCAAATTGAAAGTAACACAAATAACCAAAATCTGCATTTCTGAAAAAAAAATATTCTTTACATCATTTATTTAAGTATCTCCTACCGAGTATTACATGTGGTACTCACCCCTATTAAAATATTACAAGTTAACTCGAGGAATGGCAGTGACTCGACATAGTGGCAAGTGCTCGACGATTTCGAGTACTCTTAAACTTTCTAGTAAAATTTTTAGTTATGTAAATTTTCATATTTGTTTAGATTGTCTTTTAAAAATGTTCAAATGGCCATTTTGTCCAGTTTTTATACAATTCACGTCAACTATAATCTAGAAATGTCGGGTGGACTATTGTTGAATTAAAATTTCAATTTCTGTTCTCCTACATAAAAATGACACAACTTGGGCTACGGTGCATGTTCTAATGTGAGATCAGTGTGGTTTGAAAGTTTTATGAGTCTTCTAGTAGTATTGAAATTGCTTTAAAATTTTACCTAGAGAATAAGTTATGTCCGTTTTAGTAAATTAAGTCTAGTCAACTTCGAAAATATTAGTCTAGCATTAATGGAAACTGTTTTTGTGCTTCAAACATCATTGTCGAGACCCCAATTTTTGATATGTTGTACATATAAATATTTTATGGTCTCTGTTTTAGTCGATGTTTAGTAGATCAAAATTTTTTTTTTTTCTTTTCCCTGTTATGCAATCGGTGAAATTTTTTACCCTCGTGTTGCAAAATGCTTTGCAAATTCAATTTTTACCATATTGTCTAAGTCTATATGGCATGTTAAGATCTCTTATTATTCATTAAATGTCAAATTCTTAATTTTTTCTTATTTACTTATATTGTTGGTTAATGTTATAGAACTCAGACTTTTTTGTAACGCATAGGGTTACAAAAATTTAGGCCATTATAGTATCCAATAACACCCCTTCCCCTCACACAACTCAAACCTTCAATTTCTCTATATTATCTACCACCAACTGTGGTTGCCATAATCAACTCTGGCCACCTTTGGGATAGTCGCATCCATCGTCTGCGCTCCTTATCGTGGTTTTGGGATTTTACAATATGCCTCCTACTCATTGGATTTCTCACCAATTACTTCACAATGACGTAGAGGTGGACAATATGTGACACAATTAACAAACATTATGAGGAATTCAAGGACAGTGCCAAATTGATTATTATTATTTTTTTTTGTGATAAGTTTTGTGCTCGGATTTAAGAAATTGTTTTTTTGAGCATATATTTTTCTTTATTTTCTTGGAGAAAGCAGAAAGTCTATAAATACAAATTCACGATATACATGCAATTGTATTTTTTTTGAAAAATTGTTGTATCTTTCTTCGACGTCTATTTTTTCTTTCATTACATTTAAATGATCCATATATATTGAAAATTATTGCACTAAAAAACCATCTCTTCATATCTGTGTGTGAAACTATGTAGTCCTTAGCATTGGCTTGTGTTCTCAAATTTCAGCTTATAAGCTACTCAATTTGTGATTTTGACGTCATAGACTTGAAAATGAAGTCTACTTTTTTGCTTCGTGGGATATGTCATGATCATAGTGAGCATTAAACTTCAGTCTATTTATTGTTTAAACTTTGATGGCTCCTCGAGAGATACCCGGTCTAGGGCCGACGTAGTGCTGGTAAGTCTAGAAGGGTACAAGCTCAATTGTGCTATGAGATTTGGCTTCAACACCACCAACAACGTGGTTGAATATGAAGCTTCCCTGGCTAGCCTCCAATTGGTCAAAGAGATGCAGGTGAAAGGGCTACTCATTAACAGTGACTCTCAGTTAGCCATTAGCCAAGTTAATGGCAATTTTTCGCCAAGGACAAGAGCATGGCTGCTTATTTGAAATTGGACATGGAGTTCATCCCAATCTTTGAAAGGTTTAAGGTAACGCAAATACCAAGTTGTGAAAACACTCATGCCGATGCCCTTTCAAAATTGGCAAGTAGTAGGACTCCGAACTGCTCACAGTGGTTCCCATAGAACACATTCTGAGGCCTTCCACTTCAAAAGGCGAAGAGGTTATGTGGGTAGAAGATACTCCCTCATGGATAAAGCCAATGACAAAGAAGAAGCACAAAATCCCAGAAGACGAGCCTCACACTTTATCTTTCAAGATGATGTGTTATATAAATGGGACTTTCCATGCCCCTGCTTCGTTGTATAGGTGGGAAGAAAGCTACTTATGTGCTTCAAGAGATACACAAAGGGTGTGTGGCAATTACTTTGGGGGATGGTCCCTAGAACAAAAAGTGTTAAGGCAAGGATATTTCTGGCTGACCTTGAAAAAGGAGGCCAACAGTTTGCAAAAAGATGCGATAAGTGTCAATGCTTTGTGACAGTTCAAAGAGAATGGGGAATTGATCTCATTGGACCTCTACCTAAAGGAAGAGACCGTGCTTGTTTTGTGATTGGTGCTATTGACTATTTCACCAAGTGGGTTGAAATTGAGCCACTGACCAAAATAACTGAAGTAAATACTTCGAAATTTTTGTAGAAAATATCATATGTAGGTTAGGTATTCTCCACTCAATCGTCTTTGATAATGGGCGACAATATCACTAAACTCTTCGATTTCATCGTTACCCTCCATAATATTATGGTACCTATGATTTTGAGGATACAATCCCACACTCTATGCCATAGAACTATCATTTTCACAGAGTGAAAGCGACTGGGTAGCCGAGCCCTCTCTAAATGTTCCTCCTCCTTCTCAACGGATCTATTATTTTTTGGTAGAGAATCAGTGCTTTCATAGATGGAAACATAGTTATATGTTTTGCATCAAATGCAATTCTTATTCTCTGGCTCGGATCAATTGCTCTTCTCCCTTAGGCTTATCTCTGCACCAAAAAGCAATCTAGTTTAATTCAATGAAATAAAAAATAAAGGATACTTCTCTATTTTCTATTGCTGATTGTACACATCTCTGTTTTTCGAATAGGGGGCATTGAGGCATTGAGATCACAAAAGCATTGAGAATGTAATTCAAAGTCCAAAGCAGCTTCATGTGCAGTTGAGGAATGAAATTCACGTGGCATATTTGTTTTAAGTTGAAGGTGGTATATAGTATATGTTAAACCACGTATCATGTTCCTAAGTTGTAATGTGACTACTGCAAAATTTATACATTTTTTGGCTTTACTTCATCTATTATCACTTTATGAGTCAGCCTCGAGTCCTCAAGTCAATAGAATCATTGATTGCTTCTAGTCCAAATGTGCATAGTGAATACTGGGTCCTTGTCCAACTACTTCTTGAACTCCCCAATGTACATTATTATGATGTATATCTGGGGATACTAGCAACAGTGGGAATGAATAATGGTTGAACGTTTTTTAATGATGAAGAAGTGGATGGAAGAGAGTCAATGGCTGGAGCTAGAATCTATTTTTTTAGTTGGGTGTTGGGAAATTTTTAGTAAGCATATTTTGCAAGAAAACATATATGATTTTTTTGTTCACGCTGTAGACTTTAATTTGCCAATAGATTAGGTTTCTGATTTTACAGTTTTGGTAGGGATCAACCGAGGGAAGGAGGAAGATGGTTAGGAAAGTTCTAAGAGAGAGGATGAGATGTTTCCTTCAAATAAGTTGATTCCCTTGAATATGGTGAAAAAAAAATTGACTATTAATTGCAATATCTCTATATTACATTAGATTTTAAATAAAAATAATTTTGATAGAATTAGGAAAATCTGCTTATGTTTTCTTAGATGACAATGTTCGATTAAAATAAAAAGAAAAGACTATGAAGAAGGAAAATGAACAAGAATGGCAAAATAACTCGTCAAACCTGATACCACAAGGCCCCGTCTCGCCCTATCTTAATCGAGATATTCAGGTTGGGGATAGGGTTGAGATTTCGTCCCGGGGAGGGAATGGTAACAAGGGCCTCATCCAGCCGAACCCGCCCTGTTTAACTTCTTATTTTTAAGAACTCAATACTTTAAATAGAAAATTTCACGAAATTTCATTAATTCTAATAGAAGATGGTAACTAAGATTATCTAATGAATATAATGAACAATAAAAGCATTAGTTTACCAAATATATTTGAATAATTTAACTTTTAAAAATAAATAAATTAATTAAAAAATTTAATAACTATATTATTGTGTCACTTTTATGAATAGGGGTAATAAAAGAAATTTCAAAAAAAATTAAAAGGGTACTAAACGGGGCAAGGGCCCCGTCTAAAATAGGTAAAGGGGTGGGGACGGGGGCGGGAATTACCTCGTGGGACGGGGGTGGGAGAGGTTGCCCAGACCCGAACCTGTCCCGTTGCCATCTTTAAAAATGAAGTCTTCGCAATTTTCAGATGATAACAATACAATTATTTTCTTCTCCTTTTATTGCACTAATAAAAAATGCTAATATGCATGTTCTAGGAACACTTAACATTGAACTTATTTCTTTTTCAACTAATAACTACAAACAATCTACCTCCATCTTCTACCGTCTTTTATTTTGTAAACTTGATAAACAAATTCTATAAACCATTCAGGTTTTTCATATTTAAAAATTAAATATCCCGCAACCATTCCAAATAACATTCCACATCCATACCCCATGAGGACAACTTGCCAGGTGAATCCATCTAAGATATTGAAATCATCATCTTTCTGTGTTGTTGATACTAGAAGCTTTGGTTGTGGTTCATCATTTCTACACATATTTGTCAGTGGTAGTCCACATAATTCTGGGTTGCCAATATATGAACTGCTATCAAACGTAAGAAGCTGGCCTTGCTCAGGTATGGAACCAACAAGATGATTGTATGAAAGGTTAAGGAATGATAGACTTGTCAACTTTGTCAATTGCCAAGGAATATCTCCAACCAATTGATTTGAACGAAGGTCCAATGATTCAAGGAAATTCAATTTTTCTAATGATGGGATATGACCAGTGAAATTATTATAAGCTAAGTTTAGAGCATGTAGGCCCTTGAACTTTCCTATAGAACTTGGAATCTTTCCTTGAAATTTGTTGTTTGATAGATCAATGCTTGTATAGGCTCTTTGGATACTCCTCAATCCATACTCAAACCCCTTCAATAAAACAGTTGAAAGAACTTCGGAGTATTCAGCTCCTGTTTCATTTTCACTCACATTCATCATGGCTTTGAATTTATCTAAAAATTCAATTGGGAGAACACCATTGAACTCATTGTGGGACATATCAAGAATTCGCAACTTCGGAAATGAAAGCTTCACCTTTGAAATAGGTATTATACTGTGGAATCTATTGGACTTCAATACAAGGACTCGAAGCTCCGGAAGAGTTTCCATCCAAAAGGGGAATGGGCTACTTATGGTATTGTTTCCAATATCTAGTACTTCAAGCATCCTACAATTGACCAATGACAGTGGTAACGTCCCACTAAATTGATTTCCATATAAGTCCAAATACTGTAGTTCACATCCCTTTGGAAATATTTTGGGAATGATGCCATGAAAATTATTATTCTTCAAATTCAAAACTCGCAATCCTTTACCAAGTTTAGAGACGTTTTTGGGCAACTGCCCACTTAATTGGTTCATACTTAGATCCAGAGCCATGAGTGACTTCAAATGTCCAATCTCAGGTGAAATCATACCTGTGAGATGGTTGGAGGAAATATCCATGAACATAAGTTCTGTTAAATTTCCTATCGTTGGAGGTATTTGACCTGAAAGCAAGTTGACTGAAAGGTCTAGGTATAACAAGTTTTGCAAGGTTCCTATCGTTTGAGGGATATAGCCGGAAAATCTATTATCATTCAAATTAAGAAAATTGAGATTTATCAACAAACCGATTTCAGATGGTATTTCCCCAAAGAAAGAATTGTTTTTAAGCATCAATACTGTTAACTGGGTCCAATTTGTGAGAAAATAAGGTAGGATGTGACCACAAAGATTACTATCGACAATAAGTAAAACGGATAATTTGGTCAGATTGGTCAAGGATAAAGGCAAGGATCCCGTAAGTGATCTCCCACTTAAAATCAACTGGGTAAGGTTTGTGCATAGTCCAAGCTCAGAAGGAATTGTGGAATTGAGTGGACTATCGATTAAGAGACCAAGGTATTGAAGATTCTCGAGTTTGCCTAAAGAAGATGGGATCTTTTCTTCGAATGAAGTTAGTTCAAGGATTTCTAGATTTGGCATCAAACCAAAAATATCAGGAATTAAACCAGAGAAGTTGTTCGAGGCTAACCCAATACCTTTCAATTTCGTCAGCTTAGTAAGAATTGATGGCAAGGAACCCTGAAATGAGTTACCAGTAAGGTTCAGATATTTGAGCTTTCCTAGATTGGTGAATAATGAGTCTGGAATTTCACCAGTAAAGGAGTTAAATGACAAATCAAGATAAGTTAGATTTCGGAGATCACTAATTTGATATGGAATCAACCCATGGAAATGATTCCAACAGAGTTTGAGACTTGTGAGATTTGGAAATGAAGAAAAATCGAGTTGGTCAAGTGTGTCATTAAGGCCTGCACCCGGCAAGTATATCTCATAAAGTGACACTGTGTTGCATACAACCCCTTTCCAACTACATAGATTCGTGATATTATTGAGGGCCCATGAATCAAGAGAATCATGAGATGATAAGGTGTTCTTCCACCTTAAAAGAGCCTCTGCTTCCGTTTTCTTAGATGATACAATGTTTAGTGCAAATGGAAGTGAACTTAAAAGGAAAGTGTGAAGAAGGAAAACAAAGGCTTTTTTAAATGGTTCCATGCTTATTGTTCTGGGTTTCATTACCGTTTCCCCTTTCTTCTTTTATAATAGTGGTAAATATGAGAGAAGAAAAAGATGATGTGACAAATATGCTGGCAAGCCAATGAAAACAAATATAAGAAAGAAAAATGAAACCTCATTTTTTGGCTTGATATGTACATTTGATCAACAATTATTTTGGTTTGAATAACATGGCGAAAATCAAAAGACTAGGATGCAAATCATCGTCAACAGTTTCTGGATTGGAATGTGATGAAAAAGTAGAATATCAAATGAGTTGCTTCATCATACTTTTAGATATTCCTTTCAAGAGATAAGTTACAAATATATTGTATATTAAGTTGTATTGGGCTTGCATAGTAAAGATATTATGATGCTCCAGTCAGTCAAAAGTAGTTTAGAATTAAGTGTCACAAAGCTATTTTAATGATAGTCTTCAATAATTTACATTGAACAAAAGAGGACATCAAAATTTTAGAGGAACCAAAAGAATACAAAGTATTGATAATGATTATCCCTTTTGTGGTTGATATTAATGCCTTGTAAGGAATTCAATTCCATGAAGATACAAAGGAGAGAAATTCTTGGAGTTGGTAGTTGAAGATGGCTAAATAGAAGACTAAGTCAATAAAAACATCAAGAAAAGACATATGGAAATTAATGTATATGACAAAGAAAGCTACTTAATTGCAATGAATAATCTGGAGCTTATATTTATATAATATATACATCCATGTCACTAACCTACAGTTTGTTGGATTAATGATTTAAAATATACTCAATGTCTCATTAGTAGACTAGTTCTAGGGGGGAGAATGAGATATTTTCTTCAAGTAATTTTCTACTCATAAATATGCAAAAAATTTGAGACCGCGTCTTTGATATTTACATCAATTTTACACCATTGTTTATACAAAACTTAGTAATTCCACAGCTGCTAGAAATTATGAGCCTTGGCAGAGTTGGGTATATGTGAAGGATTTATAGATTTTTTACTTCTGGTGGCCAAGAATCTACATGTCACTAATTGCGTTCCTCCACCAATTACTTTACAATGATGTAGAAGTGGACAACATATGAGAGAACTAACAGACAATATGACGAATTCAAAGACTATGCTTGTTAGATTATTTTCTTTTTCTCGATTAATTTTGTGCTTGGGTTCTAGAAATCGGTTTTTTGAGCACAAGCTTTTCTTTATTTTCTTGGAAAAATCTGCAAGTCTATATATACAAATTTTTTAAATTGTATTTTCTATGCCGTCGTAGTATTTTAACTATATATTTGGGAGAATTAGTGAACCATTTATGTTTTTCATATTTAAAGATTAAATATCCTCCAACAAATCAAATAACGCTCCACGTCCGACCCCATGAGAACAACTTGCCTGGTGAATCCATCTAAAATATTGAAATCATCGTCTTTTTGTGGCAACATTGTCATCAGAAAGTAAAGCCACCTTTATTGGCTTTGAAACGTTGGCTAGTGAAGAGTGGGTCCTTGTTCAACTACTTCTTGGACTCCTAATGTACAACATTATGATTTATATCTGGGGATGCTAGCAACTATGGGCATGAATAACAGCTGAACATTCTTCACTATAAAGAAGCGGATATGGAAGAGGGTCAACGGATGGCCCCGAAATCTATTTTTTCAAGCAATCCCTACATATAAGTTTGTTTGTTCATGTAGCCAACTTTGATTTACTGAGAGATTAGGTTGCTGATTTTGCAGTTTTTGTGGGGATCAACCGAGGAAAGTAGGTGTTGTAACTTAAGAATAAGTTTTAACCTTTCAACCCTACAACCTTTAATTTTCAATTCTAACCTAAAATTAAAGCATCATAATACATATTGTAACTTGTGTTTTAATGATATGATTGTGGGGGTGAAATTTATCCCTATAAAAGGAAATGCTTTTCATTGAGATAAATAACAAGAAAACCACAATTTGAGATACAATTAGAAAATGAAATACCCTCTATAATTTATACTATATTTCTATAGTTTTGGCAACTCGAAAAATGTTCGTTCACTTATCTTCCTATGGTCGTGCCAACACAACCCGAATTTTTGATAAATTGAGAAGATGAAGACAAATCTTAAAATCTTGAATCTCTTCAATGGTTTCTTAATAAATCTCCACTTGCGCTCTCTCTTCTTTGTCCAATGCCAAGTTTGAATCTTCACTTAATTGAATTCTTGCAAGTCCCCTTCAATTCTCTCACAAAAACAATGAATTCTCCTCCTTTGATGATGATAATTGATGAATATTGGAGTATATTATGTATAAGAGAAGAGAGAAGTATGAGGGCCCCCTTTGTGTATTCTCCTATTGGGTATCTGTAGTAGTCAAAAATTGGTGAAAAATCACGTCCAAATTGGTTTCCAAAAGAGTTCTAATCGAATAAGGAAAGTTACACTCGCGGATTTTTTGTCTCTGCACAGCAATCGGTATTTTGATCATAACTTTGTCTCCCGATATCCAATTGAGTTTTTTCAAAATGCGTTGGAAAGATAAATAAAAGGGATACAATTTTCCTGGGAATAGATATTTTTCAATTCGGACGTTTACTATGCCAAAAATTGGTTGCAATCATTGACTAAAAATCTGAAAAATATATCATATAATTGGAAGTTGATTTATAGTAATATTCTTATGATATTCCATTCCTTTTTGACTTCTAATTGTATCCAATTGACTCTCATCAATCTTTAAAATGTCTCTTATGGTCCAATTCAACCATTGGATATTTGCAATTTGGTCCTCAACTTTGTACTTCGCCATTTTTCATCATTTTTCACTTCTTTCTTTCGGTTTAACTTCCAATCATCGAGTTTTACCTAATAAATGAAATATACAACAAATTAGGCTATAATTGATTTAAAGAACTATTAAATGTCTATATTTTTTTAGGTCTAATAAGTGTATAAAATACACTTATCAGTCGTGCCCATAGAAGGAGAACCGACTGTGAGCCACATGGATTTTATTTTGGAGTCGTATAGCGTCAAAAGTACCCACGTGAAGGGGAGGCAACACGACTTTAGAATAGCGTCATTGACATGACTATGTAAGGCTTGCGTTCTAAACCTCTTCTTATTGTTGAATTTTAATATTTATATGTTATAATATTGTTATGTTTATGCAATTATAAAATTTTGTTATTTATATTTATTAATTGATAATTTATTTACACACAAATTACCAATTTTTCCCAACAATAGGAAGATGTCTGGGAAGTTCTAAAGGATAGGATGAGATCCTTCCGTCAAATAACTTGGTTTCCTTGAATATGGTGAAGAGAAGTTAACTATTAATTACAATATCTCCATATCTGTGAACAAATATAATTTGGGCAGAATTAGAAAAATATGCTTATGTTCTCTTACATAACAATATTCAATTGAAGTAAGAAGAAAAGAATACAAAGAAGAAAAATGAAGGTTTTGCTATGTCCCAAGGGTTACAAAATATAGTTATTTTCTTCTCCTTTTGTTGCATCAGTAAATAAATATTGTTGATATGCATATTATAGGAAGACTTAACATTGAGTATGTTTCTAAACTCGATAAAAAAATTCTACAAACCATTCAGGTTTTCCCTATTTAAAAATAAAATATCTTGCAACTAATCCAAATAACATTCCACATTCAGACCCCCCATGAGGACAACTTGCCAGATGAATCCATCTAAGATATTGAAGTCATCATCTTTCTATATGGCCAACACTGGAAGCTTCAATGGGTGTAAGTCATTTCTACATGTCTTTTTCAATGGCAATACACATTCTAGGTTTCCAATATAAACTTTTATCCATGTAAGAAGTTGTCCTTGCTCAGGTATGGGACCAACAAGATGATTATGTGAAATGTTAAAGAATGACAAAGATGTCAACTTTGTCAATTACCAAGGAATCTCCATTACCAATTGATTTGAATCAAGGTCCAATCATTCAGGAAAGTCAAATTTTCTAATGATGGGTATGACCTACTAAATTATTATTAGTTAAGTTCGGACATGTAGGCCCTTGATTTTTCCTATAGAAATAAATATCTTCTAGGAATTTGTTGTTCGATAGATCGATGCTTGTATAGGCTTTCAGATACTTAGCTTCGAGTAGACCTTGTTGTTGTCATAATTCTTAATTCATGAGTTGTAGGGAGGGATTTATGTCTTGTGTGGACCGATGGACTTACCAGCCTTGATCGTTACAAAGGACGATGCTACCATATTAAGTCTCTAACCCCTTCCATAAAATAGTTGAGAAAATAGGATCGTGTTTAGCTCCAATTTCGTTTTGGCTAAAATTCATTGTGGCTTTGAAATTCTCTAAAAAATCAATTGGGAAAATACCAATGAACTCATTATGGGACATGTCAAGAATTCGCGTTATAGGAAACTGAAGCTTTACCTTTGTGGTAATATTCCATTCAATTGATTTTCACTTAAGTCCAAATACTGTTTTGTTACACGTTTTCTATAACGTAGTCTATGGGTCAAGGTTTATAATATAAATATCAAGTATGGATGTCGAACCTACAAGAATTGATATTTAATTTTGAACAAGTACTATAATTGTATAGCTTTTATTTTATCTAGAGAAATGAAATTTGGAACCAATGGTTTTAAATAAGTTAATGTGATGAATCTGGTGACATATATAATAATTAAATGCGAGTTAGAAAAATAGTTAAGATGAAAAGCCTAGGGTTATGGTTTCACCTAACTATCAAATATAATTTTCAAAAACCTAGTTATCTCTAATCAATTTTTCATGTTTATGAGCAAGAACCTTAATATAATTTTACTTCCTCTCTCAAGTATCAAGTAAGAACTATTCCTATAATTCAATTCCAATATCTCTATTCCAAATTAAAATTAAAGAACTATTAAGTTCATGGTTCTTATGCAGAACAAGTTTCAAAGAAATTATTTTCTCCAAACCTATAAAGCCCAGGTTGTGATATTGTTGTGATCCGCCTAAATTTTCCTCTCTC